AGTATCAATAATAATAATAATAATAATAATAATAATAGAATTAATATTAAAAAGAGTTTTACTTATTTTATGTATTTTTTTCTATATCATTAACAAGCTTATTTGCAAGACCATTGTTACATATCTGGTAAAATTTGATATTTTTGGAGACTGTACTTTATCAGTCTTAAGAATAAATACAGGAAATATTTGGGCCAAATATATATTTGTATATATAGAAACAGTTTACACTGTGAAAGCACATTTGTATATTTTGGTTCTAAAAGATGGACAACACATTTTAAAGTCTCAGAAATGTGGTTGTAATTTTCATGGCCACAAATGTCTTGATGCCATTACTGTGAATGTTATATACTTGTGTGAGGGTATAATTATGTACATGTAATATGTATATTCATATAGAGAGTTAACATTTAATTAGCAGCACATAATGATTATTAAAAGGCATACCCTAAAACTAATTTTTTACCTCATTAGTCAACCAGCAACATCAATTTAGATAGTAGTCAGGAGGAGGGTTATTTTGATCAAAGTGTATCTAAGAGACCACTTATATACAGTTTACTTTTAAAAACTTAGTTGAAAATATCTTTTGATTGGATAAATTTTGCTATCTTGTATTATTTCAAGCACACCCTTAGTATAAAATTTTATACATGCTTTTATAGTCAATACCTATGGATAATGCCATTTCCCATTTAAAATATCGTTGGGGTTGATACAGTAGAATTAAGATAAAAGTGAAAATTTTAGACAAATATTTTATTGACCTGAAAATAGACAATCTTTTGTAGCTTTATGAACTAATATCTATAGATCTTTGAATGATTTACTGACTATTCTAAAATTGTGTACAGACATTGAATATAGTAAATCTTATGTCTTAATTCTGTAAATTCTCTTGTCCTCTGTATTACCAGTATTAACAAAAGTTACTTTGTTCAATTTTTCTTGTTTTTTAATAATTAATCAATACTGGGCCAGGGATTTAGCTCAGCGGTTCAGTGGCCTGCCTTGCAAGCACAAGGACCCGAGTTCAATCCCCAGTACCAAAAAAAAAAAAAACCAAAAAAAACAAAAACAAAAACAAAAAAACAATAATTAATACCTAATATTAAATATACTTTAGAGCAAATAAGTAGCAGTTGCAAAGAACAATAATAGAAAGTATTTTCTAGACTAATCTAGATTATTTTAAATCTCAACATGCTGACCTGTAGTTTTCTGTGATGAGCTCTTCCAATTTACTGTTTTTCTGACTTTTATTTAATATACAGGCATGTCTTTTTCTATTTTATTGGTACATATTACATATACATAAGCATAACATTCATCATAGGAAATTTGTACCTGTTCATGATGTATCTTGCTTCTTTTTACAAACAGGTCTTTTTGTATCAAGTAAAAAACATGGTTATTTATTAATGTATAGTAGCTAGGTCTTATTAAATACAAGTTGTTTTCACTTCGCTAGAGAGCATTTACTAAAAACAACTTATCTCATACATATAACTTCTAAAATGTTAAGAGTTTTTAAAAAGTAGTATTTTATTTTCCTTTTTCATAAGCAGACATTTCTGAATTTTCCAAAGTGATGTTTTAAGGTATTTTGAAATTTGTATCAAATTCAGAGAATATGCATATCATTGTGAGTGTCACTTGGACTCTATAATATGTCAGAAATTTGTGATGTAAAATTGGTATGCTAAGATCAGTTTTAATATAATTTATTGGTTTTAAAAATCCTCAATGATATGTTTGTGATATGGGATAATATAATTAATATCTTAAAGGGAATTCTGGTTGAATTAAATCACATTATTCTTTATGATTATTACAAATGTATTTGTGTAGAAGTCAACTATAAGAAAGCATTCTGATTATCAGTTCTAAACAAAGAATCAAATGTTTGAAAACAGTTTTTCCAGATCAAGCCACACAATTCTTAAAGTATTTTCTCAGGATAGTAAATTAGTAGTATCTACTTATCCAAGGTTTTAATACCTAATACAGTAACAGAGCTCCATCAATATATGGCTAATTGCAGATATAAAGTATCTGCTGGTAGTCCATCTCTCATAAAACTGCCGTTAGCCTTAATTCAAATCCATTGATTCCTATTCCAGTTAAAGCTGAAGAACTTAATATGTCTTTTAATCCTTTTATTGTAAGCTAGGATAAAATTAATTTTACCCTAGAACTTCACAAAGCCAATTAACATGATCTTTAGAGTTATTTAGTAAAGTGCTTCAAACTGTTAAATTTATCTTGACCTCTCGGTTGTACTCTCTGACTGCTTTTTAAATGAAGCAATCAATATCTCATAGCCCTTTAAATAGCTTAAACTTCTCAAATATTTTACCTGTGTTCTACTTAAGCTGTAAGTAAAGTGTTTACTCCTGTCCGTGTAAATCTGGAGTCAATTATGCTAAATCTAAAGATAATTGTATACTTTTGAGGAACACTATATGAATTAATGGTTGTTTTAATAAAATCAAAGCCCCATAGTTTGTTAAAGTAACTCAGTAATGAGAAAACGTATCATTTTCACACACAACATATATCCTGTTTGCAACTTAAAATGTAGGAGAACATTTATGTCCTTTACCATTACACGTACCTTCTGTTTTCCACACAGGGCTAGTTGAAGGTATTAATTTTCTTACTGTGATAGGGTGATCAACCGTCCTGTCAAGAAAATGGATCTCCATGTCACCCTTTAGCATGATTAAATGGAGCCGTGTCCCTGTGAAAAAATACCAAATTTTCATGAGACAAATGAAACTGTAGAAAGGTTTGCTTTTACAAAATTATTTTATTTTTAGTATCACAATGTCTCCCATTTGATTGTCAGTTTATTTGTAGGAAAACGTTACAGCTAATTACAAATAATTTATCATTTAGCAGAAAATACAGTTCAAATTATTTAAAGTTGTTTACAAATTTGAAGAATTAAATAAAAAAAAATTGCAGTATTATTTTTAGACCAGTAGTAGGGATGGGCATCTGTACCTTATACAGTCACCTTATAAATCACTGTCAGTGACATTTTTGGACGCTTTTTATTCTTATATCTTTACCTCTTTTCCTTGTTAACAAAGAGCTATCATCTTTGCAGATCTGACTGATGATAAAAATTACATACCATAGAATTCCAGCATCAGTAGTGTTAATAGTCAGTTGGATGGTGTTATTATGAGCCTATGCACACGCCAAACTTTAAATTACGCCAAGTGATGTACTTGACAGCTAATTAAGATTTCATATTTTGGCCACTTAGCAGAGGGCACCTGTTACAATTCTTTGTATTAGCTTAGGAGTAAAATTTACAAATGGCTGTCTGAAAGCACTTTATTAAAAGTTTTCTAAAGTCTTAATTCCTTCCCAAGGAGTGGAAGTTAAGGCAAGATTGAGGTAATTAAACAAAAGGAACAGAGAGAAGGTGGAGGACCAGGGATAGAGGCTGAGCTCTCCAAATGCCCCTGCTGTTTAATTTCCTACTGGAAGCAGCCTGTGTGTGCTGCTGTGCCCCCTCCCTCTTTAAGCAGTGGCCGTTGCAGTGGCTGAACGGCTGGGGTCAATGCCTTGCCTATTGATCAGTATCCCTGCAGTCCCTTGCTCCAGCAGCTGCTTCATTGGCTTCTTTCAGGGCCTGCTTCAGTACATTAGAATAGAAATCCATAACCAGAGCTGTGCTCATCCAAGCAAGGGAAGAAACTAAATTAAATGGTATAAAACAATCTTGGATCAGGAGTTTGTGCCAATTCATCTTGATCTAAGATGTCACACCGGGCTCTCTGTCTGAGCACCTGGGCTAGAGGCAGCCATAGTGAAAATAGATGGAGCTGAGATCATTCATTTGTCAGCTAAGGAGCAAGGCAGCGGTTAGCAATTCCCTTCTGCAGAGGTCAGCTGACAGAACAATCAGTGTAACTGCAGAATAGAGCTTTCCTTTGAACTATTGTTATGGAGCATGCTCTTGCTGAGACATAGGGGGAGGGGGGCTTGGTCTGTTTCCTGTTTGTCGAGAATACTATGTAAAAAGTAAAATATATAGCACTATAATGTGTGAATCTAGATTCAGTTGCACTGTACTTACTCCTTGGGTCTGTGTTTGTACATAAATAAAGTTGGTTTCAAATGCATGTAGTGAGATATAGATTATCAAACTGTTAAATATCACTTTGTGTAAAATTAAGGTTCTTTTAAACACAGAGGCAGTGATTATTGATTTTTTTCTTCTTCGTGTGGTTACGCTTTTAGGTGCTTTTTTCCCCCACTTTAGTTACCTTCCTATCGGATAACAGTGTCATAATTTGAATCTATAATAGTATTTTCTTCCTAATTCTTTTTTATCAACATTTTCTCTCTGTCTTCCCAAAACTAAACCATTTCTGTGAACAGGGAAGAGTGTACACTATGATATCCAATTAGAAAATATTCCTTAGTATTAATAAAATATTTCAAACATTTAAATCTAGAACTTAGTTATGAGAAAAGTAGTTGATGGAATATTTATCGTGACCTTGGAAGTTATAAAATAATTTTGTAACTTTGAAAGAGCATCATTGTAAAGTAGCTTAGTTATGCTGTGAAATATACCATGTAAAATTGTACAAATTATGAAAATGGTAATTACAATTTTATATGAATGAGTAAGAATATTAAGGAGAAATCTGTTCTCTATGGACTCATTTTAAATTTGTCTTTCAATATACTACTTAAAAATCTAATGATAAAATTTTTGAGTTAACCTGAAAAAATGTGTAATATGTAGAAGCTAAGGAACCATAGCAGCAACAACAATCAGTCCTTTTTGCATAATCTTCTATCATTTTGGTTTCTTAGACTCAAATACGTCTTTTTGTTTATAACTAATTGTCCTGTTGCCATTTATCAAAAATGTTCTTTCCTAAATGTATAATCTAAAATGTTTTTCAAATCATGTATTTTTTGTATTGATATTCTTTTAACTCATATCCCTGTGGTTTGGTTTTTAGGTTGTTTATCAAGTGTCCCACAAATGAAAAAAATTTCCACATCTTACGAAGAAAGACGGAAGCAAGCTACTGCTATTGTTTTACTTGGAGTAATTGGAGCTGAATTTGGTGCAGAAATTGAACCTCCTAAACTGCTGACCAGACCTCGAAGCTCTAGTCAAATTCCTGAAGGATTTGGTTTGACCAGTGGAGGATCCAACTACTCATTGGCCAGACATACCTGTAAGTATTAAAATTCCCATCGTGGATCTGTTGCTTTTAAATACTTATTATTTGTCAAAATCTCAGAATATTGAATATATTCTAAGTTTTAGCTCATTCAGATGCTTGAGTTAAGTTAGAAAGCAGTACAATCTGTATGATACATTGCTCTTTATAGTTACCTGGACTTATTTTTAAAAGTTAAAACATGGTCTTTTACATGCTTTTTATAAAATAATATAGTTTTCAACTTTGTCTTTTTTGCACTTTTAATCAAAATTTGTGAAAGCTAGCTTCAAGTTAAGACTTTTAATTTCTAAAATAATTTCCAAGTTACCAAGTAACTCATTTTGAGTATAGTTCAGAAATCTAGGGTTGGGGTAGAACATCAAAAGAAAAGAGCATGAATGATGAGTTATCTTTGTGTGTGTGTGTGTGTGTGTGTGTGTGTCTTTTTTTAATTCCAGTAATATTTAAATTACTAAGCTGTTATAATCAGAACTCAGAAGACTCCATAGCTGCTTTCAATTCTATCCTTGGTATGTGCGTACTAGGTTAGGGTATTTTGTAATGAGGCCTGTTGGTACTTTTGTGTTAGAACTTCTTTAGGTAAGGCCAAAATGTTCCTACATTGTTGAAAAATCATTTCTAATGAATTATTTTACCTGTAAAGAGCAAATATAATCCTACTTATTGCACTATAAGATAATCTTTGTAGAAGAAAAATGCAGTGTATTCTTTTGGGTTTGGGGCATTTAAACAGGGAGAAAAGATAACTTATTCTGCTAGTTATTTCAGCAGAGAACTGTCATGGATTAGTGTCTCATACTTTGATGTAAAACTGAGGAATTGTGTTAGTGAATTTTATTATGAAGCTCCTTCAGCAGACTTAGCTACCCATTCTGTAGCTTTTCAAAAGACTCTTAATTCAACAAATACTTATCAGAGATAATCCTTTTAGAATTCTTATTAAATGTACTTTCATTATACATCATAATGAGTTTCGTTTTGATATTTTCACACAAGTGATAATTTCCTGACCTCTGTTTGACACTGAGAATAGGAGAGTAATTATAATCCACTACAAACGGGAACAAAGCTACTCATTGGGGCACTGTCTTTTAAGCTATACATTCTTTAACTCGGTGTTCCTAATAACCCTGTGACACGGGAATCTCCATTACAATAACTCTATTTGATATATAAAGCATGTGGGACACAGAAGTTTGGTTAACCTGACTGAGATCTTACCTCCAATCATATAGTAGTTTTTGTCTCAGTCTAGTCTGTTGATTCCAGAGCTCATGCTTTTGACCATTTTACAGATTTTATTTTAATGTGATTCTTTTTATACAGACTTTTTTTACTGTTCAATGGCTTGTAATGGAAGAAGGCTTACTGACTAATATGTACTATAACTGTATAATTAAAAAAATACTTCCTGTCTCCTCATTTGATTTTCAAAATAAACTTAAGACTTCTTCAAATTAGGTCAAATAGCTGGGTGTGATGGCACACGCCTGTAATCCCAGCACTCAGAAGGCTGAGGCAAGAGGATGGCTGTGAGTTCGAGACCAGCCTGAGCTACATAGTGAGTTCCAGGTCAGTCTCAACTACATAGTGAGACTCTGTCTCAAAAAAAACCTAAAAAAAAAAAAAAAAAGGTCAAATAGTCAAAAAACCTGAACTTGAACTCACACTTCTGGTACCTTTAAAACCCATGGCCTGAACAGGGGATTTAGCTCAGGGTGCCGCCACCTGCCTTGCAAGTGCAAGATTCTGAATTTGATCCCCAGTACCAAAACAAAACAAAACATGGCCTTTCCCTTCTTCATGAGGTATATCACTTTCCTTCTCCTATGTACTACTGGCCCCTACCTCTCAACTCTATCCTGTGTGCCTTTTTTTTGAATTTTTCAAGTTGCCTGCTTTAGATTCATAAAGCCCTGAGTAAATCTCACTCTCTACAAAGGTATCTTTAATTAGATATATACTCTGTTACTCCAAACAGCCCAAGATTTACATAAATCCAGTTCTTTACTTAGAATCTTGGTATTAGAATATTAGAGTTTAATCAGACTTTCACATGATCTAGTCGGGTGGCTTTCAGATTTTTTGCTTGTTAACTTCCTAATGGGTGTCCAGCAGTGTGGAGTGGAATCTTTCAAACATTCTTAGGTTGATAATTAAAACTTTTTAATTTATTATAAGCTTACATATTTGAAAAAGTTAAGCTGGGCATCATGGCACACACCTATAATCTCATCATTTTGGGTGGCTGAGGCAAGTTGTTCACAAGTTCAAGCCTAGCCTGGGGAATTCAGTTTCTTAGCAAGACCTTGTTTTAAAATAAAAAATAAAAATGAACTGGGAGACTATGGCTCAATGTGAATACTTTGGGTTTAATCCTCAGTATGCAAAAAAAACACCTAATAATTTTGAGAATATTGTGATTATTGATGTTTAAAGATTAAAACTAACCTGTTTAATATAATAAATATAACACCACTAATTATTTGATATCCATTTTATCCATCTTAAAAATATATAAATAAAGTCAGAAATCTTATGTCCTTTTAATTTTTTTCCCCTTGGAGAAAATTTCTCTCATTACAGTTTTAGGGAAGAAAATAATTTATAAAGTTAGCATCATAGAAAAATGGATACATATTGAGGATATACTCCTAAGTGAAATAAATAAATCACACATGTGTAAATACCGAATAGTTTCTCTGGTGTGAAAAACTATAATAGTACATAAGATCCTAATGAGATAAATGACAATGTGAAATAGGAAGAAAAGGGCTAAAGGTGTAGGGAAAATGGGAAGGGTAGGGGAAAGGTAATAAGGGATAAGAAAAAAATATGAGAAAATGAAGAAATGGAAATAGTGAACGTAATTTTACTGTATTCCTTAAATGTACCAATAAACTCAATTAAAAAAAAAAAGTTAGCATCAGTTCCTTTAAACTACTGGGATCTTAAAAATATTTGTGCTTCTTTATTTATTCCTTCAAGAATCTTGAGATTCTCTCATTTGAAGTGGTTGCCTGCTTTGAAGACACTGCTTCAGTCCAACATGCTTCTGTGTAATTTTTCAACAGTAGTCATTTGCAGCATATATTTTCCTGCAAGGCAAATGAACATAAATATTATTTCCTTTACAATTTTCTTATACCCCAGTATACATATGTTTACATAAATATAGAAATATTACAAGTTAATGAATTACTGATTGATTTCATTTGAGCCATTGGCTAGTTGTTAGATAGATTAATTTACCATACTATCCTAGGTATCTGGACTACTACTGTTATCATCACTTTTCTACGCACAGATTTTCTTTGCACAAATCATGAATTTGCTTCTGTATGTATTTTAACTATAATATTCCACAACTAGAAAAAGAGAAAAGAGGGGAAAAAAGAGGATTTAAAAAGCTATGACAGAATATAGAGAGAGATTTTTTAGAGAACTCTTGGGAATTAAAACAACTGAAGGGCATTAGTACTACCTGCTGGGTTTGTTAAAAGCCAGGTAGCTGCATTATGCGTAAAGAAGTTCTAAAGCATATTTCTGGCCTTTGGAAAACCCTGGGCTCAATTGCACTATGAAGGGAGACTTTTGAATTGTGACTCCTCAACTTTCCTAAGCAAAGGTAAGTAAAAGTTATTGAATATTATTGAAATGTCTAGGTATTTTTCAGCCAAGATTATTCTTTGAGGTTTTTGAGTCATTGACTAGATATGGGAAGGGAAAAAGATAAAAGCTTTTCAACAGATTATATTTATGATTATTCATTAAAAGAAAAGATACAGAGATTCTGAAAAGTTTCTAGCCAACAAGGAATTGTATATTAAAATGAATGATACAGTGGGCCAGGGATTTAGCTTAGTGGCACCATTCCTGCCTTACAAGTGCAAGGTCCTGAGTTTTTAGTTTATTTGTATTTAGTTCATTTTTTATTGGTTTATTTGTTTATTTGTATTTAGTTTATTTGTAGTAGATATACCCACCCCTGGGATTTTTTTTTTTCCTTAATCAGATACTTTCCATTTTTTTTTCAGCTTTAATTGAGTTTATTGGTACATTTTAGGGATACAGTACAGTTACATTCATTGTTGGGATCTTGTACCTCCACATGACAAGTCTTGGGATTTTTTTAAGACCCTTCTTTTTCAATTGCAGCTTCTTAATTAAATTTAAATTTAGAAGTTTAAATCTTGTTCTCCTCACTGGAAACAGTCAGATATCTAAATGTTCCTGTGTTTTGGTTGTTCTGTTCTGTCACATATAATATTAACCTATTAATGCTGACCTGCCAGGGCTGCTAAATATATTGCCAGGTTTGTTTATGCTACTGTTAAATACTTACTCTTTATGAGATCTTAATAAATGTGGTAATAATTATTATCTTCATTTTGAGATAAGGCCAGTATTTGACAAACTTCTTAATGTAGGCAGAGGTGTAGATTGTGAGCTCTAACCTTTCTCACAAAAATAAGTATGAAAACCCATAGTCAGACTGAATTATCCCCATTGGTGGAAGGAAAGGGTGACATTACTGCATAATTTGAAAGTCATTTAGTTTTATAATACTTTTTTTACTTTATTTGAATTAACTAAATTTTTGGAAACTTAGGCTTTACATATATTAAAATCACATTGAAAACGAAGCTGAAGGTCTCTGAAATTAATAAGAGATCTCCTCTAGGCTATTCTTTTATGTATCGATAGGTGAGAAAACTATTCCTCTGGGTTACAATATCATCTTGTTTGAAATAAGTGATGGGACCTGTTTTAAAGTCCCTTTTGGTACAATCAAAAGTGAAATGTAAAGTATCCTGGAAAGTTCATTTTCTTTAGCTCCTTCTTGTTTTTATCACTGTGTAGGGATAAGTATTATTCTATTGTTTTGTAGCAAATGAATTCAGTAAATAGAGATCCTACTTCATTTTTTTTCTAATCCACAAATGAGGCATTATAAGAATTTTTAGAATATTATTTATAATATTACCGTG